AGGAGGGCAAGGAAGGAAGGGCAAGGAAGAAAGGAAGGAAGGAGAGCAAGGAAGGAAGGGCAAGGAAGAAAGGAAGGAGGGAAGGGCAAGGAAGGAAGGGGAAGGAAGGAGGGCAAGGAAGGAAGGGCAAGGAAGGAAGGAAGGCTTTTCATCTCTAGATTCTCGTTCTCGTGACTTATACCTTACTCAAATGACAATCTGATTCCTCCACACAGAGTAGCACCAAATATGTCAGCTTTTTTGCAACTTGTACCACTGTTCCCAGTGACCGCTTAAATCTCTTCCAGTTAGAAGAAATTTCAACTTTTCTCCCAAGTTCCAGTCTCGTTTACTTTTTCCCCACCACACCAATTTGATCTTGCACCCCATCTATACACCTGCAGTAGCCCTTCTTCCAGTCCCAGCTTCTTCCTACTCTAGAGACACTGCAAAACTTCTCCCTGCAAAGAGAGAGAGTAATCTTTTCCCACGCCTTTCTCCAAACATGTTTCAAGAGCTCTTGCATCACAAGAACCCACAACTATAGCCGACAGCAAGAAGTAAAGCAGAAAGCATGACTTTCCAAGCCATTCGCCTTCAGGCGGAAGGAAAATTAACTCCAACAACCCCTTACTGCCTACCTGAAGTGCCCGAGGACAGCTAACCCCTAGCATGCAAAAGCAGGGGCTGCATTCCTACAACCAACTTAAACCTGATGATTAACCAGTCTGACTTCCAGGTTCTCATCCTATACGACCCACACCTTAACCCTAAACCACCCAGCATGAAACCCAACTGAGGTCAACGCCAACTGAGAGGAGCAAGCTCTGCAAACAGAGCTTCCAGATCTTGACCATGTGTACCATGTGAAAGCAGCCAGTGGGCACATTCTGCAGAGGTTCAAACAACAGGTGTGTGGGGGGGACCCCAATTCGGCATCTGCCGGCACCTGGAATGCTGCATCCAATTTTTGGTCACTACTTCATTACCAAAAGAGATGTTGAGACTTTGGAGAAAAATGCAAAGAAGAGCAACTAAGATGATTCAAGGCCTGGAGACAAAAACATATAAAGAACAGTTGCAGGATTTGAATTTGGCTAGTCTAGAGAAAAAAAGGACTAGGGGTGAATCGATAACACTATTCCAGTATTTGAGGGGCTGCCACAAAGAAGAAGGGGGTCAACTTATTTTCCAAAGCACCGGAAGGCAAGACAAGGAACGATGGATGGAAACTAACCAAGGAGGGAAACAACCTGGAATTAAGGAGAAACTTCCTCACAGGGAGGACAATCAACCAGTGGAACAGCTTCGCCTTCAGAAGTTGTGGGTGCTTCATCCCTGGAAGGTTTTGAAGAAGCGACTGGACAGTCACTTGTCTGAAATGGTGTAGGTTCTCCTGCTTGAGCAAGGGGCTAGACTAGAAGACCTCCAAGGTCCCTTCCAGCTCTATTCTCTTTCTGATCGATCGATTGATTCAGAGCTATTGGAACTGGGTTGCAAGCCACCATTAGATGGCAGCTAATGATCTTACACTAGGCTACCATCTGGTAACTGCTTGGGGTTTGGCAGCTGTCCTACGGTAGCCTCTGAAACTGTATAGGGTCTCCTGCTTGGCGGGGCGGGGGCTGGACTAGAAGACCTCCAAGGTCCCTTTCCAGCTCGATTCTGATTCCTCTTCATTTCCTTACCTCGCAGGGTTGTCGGGAGGAGGCAAAGCAGCCGGGCCTCGAAACAGGAGACCTGTTCCGCCCCTAGAAGCCCCGCGCGAGAAAGAAAGCGTGTGGGGGGGGAATTAAGACGGGGCGGGCTGCGGCTGCAGAGAAAGCGCCCGCTTTGGCCGCCTTCACACGACACGTTTTTTAGGCAAGCCGGGTCAGCTCGGGTTCTCTCTCTTTCTCTCTCTCTCTCTCTCTCACACACACACACACACACTCGCTCCAGTCGGCGAGCGTCGACCTCGGACGGGTCAAGGAGAGAAAGCCCCAAGCGCCCGGCTACAATCTGTCCCCCGGCCCGCCCCCCCCAAAACAAACCAAAGCCTCACCTCCTGGGGTCGCCTTTCCGCCGGTCGTCCAGCTTGGCGGTTGCTCGGAGCGGCGGCAGAGGCGAAAACCGAGAGCCCGAGGAGGGTCCGCACGAGGCAAGTGGAGCGAGGAAGCCGAAGCTTTGTGGGCCGAAGCCGGCGAGAGAGCTCGCCTCCTGCCGGGCTCTTCGCGACTCTTTTGCGCTCTCGCTTCTTGGCAACTTTTCGGAAATCCGGGCGGGCTGAGGAGAGAGCGCGAGGCGCGGCGGCGGCGGCGGCGGCTTCTCCGAAGACGACTCTCCTCCTCCTCCTCCTCACGCGACCCCCCTTGACCGGCTGTGCCGGGGCCGGGAGGTTTTAGGCGTGGAGACCCTCCTCAAGCGAGCGCGGCCGAGCTCGGCCAAAGCGCAGCGAAGGCGCGTGAGGCGGGCGAGCGTCTTTGGCGAGGGGGGCGCTCCGGCTTTGACCCCCGGCGGGGTGGGTGGGTGGGCGTTCGTGCGTGCGAGGTTCGGCGGGGCCAGCCCCACTTTTGTTTCCCCCCCTCCTCGCTGCCCCGAGCTGCTTTACCCCTCCGGCGAAAGCGGTGCCGCCGGCGGCGTGGCTTGGAAAGCGTCGTCCAGGGCGGCGAAAGCCTTCCCCGTGCGAGGTTTAAAGCCGCGGCTGGGCGCAAAGAGCCCGTCCCCCTTTTCCCTCGTCCCCTCCTCCCGGATCCCATTTCCCACCCCGCCAGCCCTCGGGTTAGCGAGGCCGAAGGGCGTCACGGGGCCCCGGCAGGAGGAGGAGGAGGAGGAGGGAGGAGGAGCCAGGCCGCGTCCGCCTTTCTGGTGTGGCGAAAGTGTCGGTAGCGGGTGAGGGAAAAGGGAGGGAACCCCGGTCCGTTCATCGGTCGGTCCGTGGAGGGTTTGAGGGGGAGCGGTGCCGGTTCTGTTTCGGATCGGATGAGGGGGGCTGATGGGTCCAGAAGGCGAGAGGAAAGGGGGGGCTGGGGGAGGCGTAATTATTTCTGAACAGGTGCTTCGGAAAGGCTCCCCCCCCCAAAAAAAAACACCCCTCTATCAACAAAGTCCCAAAGGTGCTTTTTTCCCCAAGAAGCAACTGGACTTTTTGGTGTGTGTTTTTTTTTTTGTCTTCTTTGAAGACATTTTCTCTTCGCTGGTGATGTAAAGCTATTCAACACCACAGACAATACTGCTACCCTTCAAAAAGATCTTGACTATGTATCAGAATGGTCAAACAAATGGCAATTTCAAATCTCAAGAAATAAATAATCTGTCTTACATATTGCCAAAAAACAAATCAGAAAATAAAATACAGGCTGAATAGTCAAGACCTTGTTGATGATCCAAACTCTGAACTTGGAGTACTCATCTCTAATGACCTAAGTGCTAGAGCCCACTGTAACTACATAGCTAAAAAGGCATTAAGAATTGTTAACCTAATCTTACATAGCTTTTTCTCTGGTTATATTACACTACTAACTAGAGCATACAAAACATTTGCTAGACCAATACTCGAATACAGCTCATCAGTCTGGAACCCACATTACATATCTGATATTAACACAGCTGAGAAAGTCCAGAAATATTTCCCAAGAAGAGTTCTCCACTCCTCTACTCGTTGCAGAATACCTTATGCCACCAGACTCGAAATTCTAGACCTAGAAAGCCTACAACTACGCTGCCTTCGGTCCGATCTAAGTATAGTATATAAAACCATACATTGCAATGTCCTACCTGTCAATGAATACTTCAGCTTCAAACATAACAACACAACAGCACGCAATAGATACACACTCAAGGTTAACCGCATCAAATTTGATTGCAGGAAATACGACTTCAGCAACAGAGTGGTCAATGTCTGGAATACTCTACCTGACTCTGTAGTTTCTTCCCCAAACCCCAAAAACTTTAACTTTAGACTGTCTACTATTAACCTCACCCCTTTCATAAGAGGACTGTAGGGGGCGTGCATAAGCGCACCAACGTGCCTACCGTCCCTGTCCTATTGTTTCTTTTATATATATTTTTATTTTTCTTATATGTATCCATTTCATGTATTCATAACTATGTTTATTCTTATACCTATTATCTTGTAAGAGATTGACAAATCAAATTAAAATAAAATAAAAAAATTTTGCTTCTCATCCAAGAAGCTTCTTCAGCTATGACTGGAGAAATGGAAGGATTTATATTCCTTGCAAACTCCTTGCAAATGTCCAGCTGTCTGCAAGGAGTATAAATCCTTCCATTCCTCCAGTCAGAGCTGAAGAAGCTTCTTGGATGAGAAGTGAAACATCTTCAAAGGAAAAAAACAACAAGAAAGTCCAGTTGCCTCTTGAAAAAAAGCACCTTTGGGACAACCATGGCCTGGATGACTGAGAATCTCCACAGACTTTTAGCTATACCATTTGGATGAATACCCTTTGAATGGTGTGGGAGTAGGAATGAAAACTGCAGACTGCAGGAACCAGGAGCACCACTCAGGTGACCCTGAGGACAGAGATAAATTTCCAAGTGGCCTCAATGACCCTCTGAAAGGATGCAAATGGCCAGCTGTCTGCAAGGAATATAAATCCTTCCATTCCCCATCATCCAGTCAGAGCTGAAGAAGCTTCTTGGATGAGAAGCGAAATGTCTTCAAAGAAAAACCAGAAAGTCCAGTGGCCTCTTGAAAAAGCACCTTTGGGACAACTGTGACCTGGATGACTGAGAAAATCTCCATAGACACCTACCAACAAAGGTCATCTGAATGGCTGCGGGTTTTCCAAATCCTGGCAACTTTAAGGCCTGTGGATTTCAACTCCCAGAATTGATAAGTGAAGCTTGTAAAGTTAGTCACCTGGTTGTTAAGTGAATCTGGCTTTTCCCCGATGACTATGCTTGACAGAAGGTCGCAAAAGGGGTTCACATGACCCCCCCAGAGATGCTGCAACCATCATAAATATGAACCAGTTGCCAAGCATCTGAATTTTGATCACGGGGTTATGGGGGGGGGGGGGGATGATGCAAAAGTGATAATGACGAAAAACGGTCATAAGTCACCTTTTAGTTGTGGTTGCAACTTTGCATAGTCACTAAATGAACTGTTGTAAGTTGAGGACTACCTGTATTTGAATTTTGACTGTAGGGATGTTGCAAGTTGTAACCCTCATAAGTGCAAGGACTGGTTGCGGCTTTTTTCAGGGCCACTGTAACTTCAAAAGGTTGCTAAACAGATGGTTCTCTACCCAGTGGTGGGATTCAAAGATTTTTTACTACCGGTTGTGTGGGCGTGGTTTGGTGGGTGTGGCTTGACTTGGTGGGCACGGCAGGGGAAGGTTACTGCAAAATCTCATTCCCTTCTCACCCCACTAACCTGCTTTCCAGCTCCATTCTCCTGTGCAGGGCAACCAAAGAAGACCCAGCCGATCAGCTGGGACTCTGGAGGCAGAGAAGAGATGGAGTTTTATTTTATTTTATTTATTTATTTATTTGATTTGTCAATTGTTTACAAGATAATAAGTATAAGTGTGTACATAGTTATGAATACATGAAATGGGTACATATAAGAAAAATAAAAGAAAAATAAAAGAAACAATAGGACAGGGACGGTAGGCATGTCGGGGCCAGTCAGAGGTGGGATTTGCCGGTTCTCCAAACTACTCAAAATTTCCACTACTGGTTCTCCAGAACTGGACAGAACCTGCTGAATACCCCCTCTGTCTCTACCTGTATGTAGAGAAGCCATGAGTGCGAAACATCCTTGGCTGTTTTCATCCCTTCCCTCTGGGGCTTTATTCCTTCAAAATCACCACAGAGAAAAATGTTGTTTTTCAAGCCATAGGAACCAAACTGGTCAGTTGCAAATCCGGCAGTCCCGATTGGCCAAATATCTGCAGGGTGTGTTTAGTTTTAAGTTGGGTGGTGGTTGTTGTTGTTGGTTTTTTTTTGTGGTTTGTGAGATTACACAAATCCAGGTGTTTGGTCAGGATGGGGAAGGTCTGACTCAAAAGCTAGAGAAAGGGGCCATTTAAGCAAACAACAAAAGTATGTTGTGTGGTGGTAATCAACATGTGAGCCTATAGATCAGCCATGGATTAACCATTAGGGAAAACAAACACTGTGTTTAGGGCACCAAAGGAAGAGTTGCTATCATGCCCTTAACTCTTTCATTGACACACTCAAGGTCCGTGAACAATACTTGTGTCTTAAGCCTTATCAGTTGAGCAATGGAAGAGCCGAAGAGCACCATTGTTGGCTTGTATTTGGGGCAACAACTGGCCTTAATCTGACCTGCAATCAATTTAAGGATGATTAAGTTACATATTATAATACAGATTTAACAGAGTTGGAAAGCACCTCCTTGTAGGTCATCTAGTCCAACCCCCCACCCAAGCAGGAGACCCTACCCCATTTCTGACTGATGGAAGTCCAGTCTCTTCTTGAAAGTGTCCAGGGATGAAGCTGCCACAACATCCAAAGGCGACTTCTGTTCCATGGGCTGATTGTTCTCCCTGTCAGAAAGTTTCTCCTTGTTTCCAGGTTAAATCTCTCCTTGTTCAGTTTCCATCCATTGTTCCTTGTCTGGCCTACAGGAGCTTTAGAAAATAGCCTGACCCCCTTCCTCTCTGTGGCAGCCCCTCAAATATTGGAAGACCGCTATCATGTCTCCCCTGGTCCTTCTCTTCACTAGACTAGCCAGGCCCAGTTCCTGCAACCATTCATCGTATGTTTGTCTTGTGCAAGGGCACTTTTAAGAAGGCAATGTGGGAGTGACCTTCCTGTTTTTCCACACCACGCAAGTAGTCCTTGACTTACAGTCATTTGTTTAATGACCATTCAAAGTTACAACAGCGCTGGGGGGAAAAATGAGCGGTTTTCACACTTACGCAGCTTCCTCGTAGCAATGCGATCAAAATTTGGACGCTTGGCAGAGGCCATGCCTTTAATGACGGTTGCAGTGTCCCAGGGTAAATGTGATTCCCCTTTTGCGACCTTCTGAGAAGCAAAGGAAACCAGGTTGGCTAAAAAAACCTGCAGTGATTCACTTAACAACCATGGCGAGAAAGGTCGTCACACGGGACAAAACTCACTCAACAACTGTCTTGCTTAGCAAAGGAAATTTGGTTGTAAGTTGAGGATTACCCGTATAAGAGAAGGCCATAGAAGCAAAAAAAAATTCCTACCCTTCTCCAATTCTTGGTATGCTCGCACCAGAAGATAAGAGAAATTTAACTTAAAATGTCTTCATGAAAAGCTAATGATCAAATGAGAATGCAATAAATCTACAGAGGACTCTCCGGAGTCTTTTTTTATACCTTTCTGCTCTGCC